AGGAATGGAGAGGTGACGAGGGCCGTCCATAAGTATCATGACATAAAAGGAAATGTGACTTTAGGGGAGGTCAAAGGAATCTTGTGCAGTTGTCGTAGAGGGGGCCGGAGGCGAAAGACAGCGGTGACATGTCTCGCCGCAGTGACGTCACATCACAACCAGAATCTGGGGGACCAGGTCATGGCATGTCGAGTTCTATCAGTATGGGACCCGAATTGTAATGATATACCGGCATGAGATGACATGGCAATCAATGGCCATGCAATATCAGCAAGGTATTGCCTGATCTTGCATTGCCAGCATCCACCAGGCTGCTAGACGCTTGCATAACAACCCATCGTTGGCCTACAACCTATTTTTTTGCTGATGTATGTACCGTTTGCATCTCTCTTGAGGACGGTGACTATCTTGGTACGTCAGGCTCTTCGGGCGGTGATAGGGCGAAGCTTGAGCCTAAGAAACGCGGATCTGCTAACTTAAAGGCCCTATCCATGTCCTCTGCGTCTCCTCCAATCGTACGTGTAACAAGGAGAGAGCACCGCAGATTAGGTACAGTAAGTCCTGCAAGTCAAACCGAGAGGTTGTAGCCTGGTCTGATAAAAATTTTGTCGCGTCATGTTCGTCATGCACATACTCAGCGCTCAGCGCTCAGCACCTATGACAGGGCACGGTGGCCTCCCTCGACTCGGACAAGCACATCACTCCCACGCCAGCGTGCAGCTTACCTTAAGTTATGTCGAAATAGTAGGAGGCCCATGTATTCTCGCTGCGTACCATCGATGTCTTCCTTCCGCAGTTGCGAAGTCTTCGGAGCCGTTCGTGGTCCCTGCAAATGCGCTTTAAATCATGTGCAGTGCATTTCTCGGGTGCGGAGACGTAGGCAGGAGCTCGTACAGGTGCGGCTTTTTTCAGATCGTTCAGCTTGAAGCTCAGCCCTAGAACTTGGATTGCGAAAGATTTGGTATGTTCGGACAGCTCTGATCTATTCAAAGCTCTCGAGATCGACGACCGCGCCGTCATTGCTCTCTTACGAGAGGTGTTTCTCGTCTCGCATCCTCGGTTCGTACAACTCCGCGGCGAAGATACTATCAATGCTTTGTCCTTATTCGACGCGGTCCGTCGTTATGATACCGGTACCTTCTCGCATGCGACCAGCTCATTCCTTTGGTAGTAGAGTTCGTATCGCCATTATATTCCGAACTTAGGTATAGATAACCTCTCGCTAGATGTCGTACGGGAAATATGTGTTCACCGAGTGCTGGGTGTCCCAGAATTGGTCTTCCTTGTCCTATCGAGGTACACCACTGACAGTTTCCAGTGATAATGGACTTACGCTGTGCTGTTTATAGGAGTGTACAAGGTTCAATCTGCCTGCACGTCCTAGGGAGTTCCTGATACAAACACGACGGCGCTACGACATGCATAGAGCGCCCCAATCGCGCGAGTGGTGTGCTGGGCAGCATGAGGCATGATCGAGATTGCCGTCATCTTCGGGGCACGTTTTGCCATGAGCGTAGATACGTCGACGGGACGAACCTGTGACAGGATGAGTTGCTTGCACTGCGGACTTGTATCGATTTTCCGGGTCGCTTGGTCGTGTTAGAAATAGGTGCTGGTGCTGAAGTCGAAGCCTCACCTGGGCCACCCACATCACATCTTCAACGACATCCTTGCCTGCGGCCGCTTGTGCCGCATACCAGTCAGAGTGCCGAACAACGGGGCTTGGTTATGGATAATAAATCGATTAAAAGACGCGCATTATCCGTCACATACACTAAGTTAGTCTGAGTTTGTCGGTAGCACAGTCGGACCCTTGATGTCCGATTGTACAGACCTTTTACCTGTTCAAGTATCAAACCTATCATCTGCTGTACCGTTTGCGTCGTTCTCCTAATCTCCAGTCTGCCGTGCCCAGTGCGTCGCTGGTAATCTCGCAGGTCCATGATATTTCGGAAGAGGACTACCGACGCGGAGTGAACTAGTGATATCTAAGTCCAATCGCGACTACAGACGGAGATCTCGAGCCTTTGGCGTGTCGCAAGTGAGCCTTCGCTTGAGCTGCGGGTTCGGAAGCTTGAAAGCTCCAGACGACGTAGATTCTTGCTGACGTCTGCATGTCTCTGAGCAGTGCTAAATTTATGAAGCTTGAGCCTTGCCACCCCATGCCTTCGTGCTATATATGCTCAAAGTGCTGGATAGCCATTCTCAGTGCCCAGGCAATTGGCTTGCGGAGCATAGGCCACGAATCTCATGATGAGCGCATTGCTTATCCCCCTCGACCGTGAAGAGACTACACCCATTGGTTCTACTCTTATAACTCCAATTCCCCGAGAACGCGCTAAAGTCTATCAAGAAACGTCAACAGTCACCTGCCCGCCTCTCAGCAGACTCAAGTTACAAATAAAGCTGTCTCTCGGCATTATTTCCTACCCACATGTCGCATACAGTTCGGGGCTGGTTCGGGGTGTGAGGAGCGAGTCAATCCGGCACGCTCTACTGGCCAATTTGTACCATTCGCTCCCGCCATAGTATTCCCTGAATTTGCGCCGGGATGCGAGAAGCTCACTTCTACATTCGTTTGTATGTTCTACATACTTTACAGCAGGACTATGAAGTCTTTGCCTTCGTAATCATGCTCTCTCTACCGGGACCAACGCCGATCCATTCTATCGGGGTAACAAGGAACTCTTCAATGAACTCAATGTACTTCTTGCAGTTCTCCGGGAGTGCATCGTAAGAGGTAATGTTGGCGATAGAAGTCTGCCATCCGGGAAGGGTGACATACTGAACTTTAACGTTCTCGAGTACACCAAGGTCGGCTAGGCCATCGTCAGTGCCACACTAGATATAATGAGCGAAGTACATACCGGGGAATCCAGGGAGCTCCTTGCCATCCAAGAGGTACTTGACAGCGACTTTGATCTCTTTGAGGTCGTCAAGGATATCGAGCTTGGTAAGGTTGAGGCTGTCGTAGCCGTTGATGAGGCATGAATGCTTCATGACGACCAGGTCGAGCCATCCACAGCGGCGACGGCGCCCAGTAGTGACACCGAACTCACGTCCGACTTCCTGCAGATGCACGCCGATGTCCTGCCAGGCAATCATTAGATCTGTACAAGTAGCATTAGGAGAAAAGGACAAACATTAAGCTGCTCAGTGGGGAAGGGCCCCCCGCCAACGCGAGTGGTGTACGCCTTGATGACGCCAATGGTGGTGCCTATCATCTTCGGTGGGATGCCGAGACCGGTGCAGACACCACCAATGGTTGTCGCAGACGAGGTGACAAAGGGGTACGTGCCAAAGTCGATGTCGAGCATCAGAGCATTTGCACCCTCGACCAGAATCTTCTTGCCTTCGCCAATTGCCTCATGGATATAGATAACGCTGTCGACAACATACGGCCTCAGCCGTTCGGCAAGTGCCTGCAGCACAAGTTGAGCACATGCCAATGGTCAGAGCTTTGCAAGGAAACGAACCTTATACCTGACAATCTCGCCCTCGGTGTCATATTCGAAGTAGCCATAGCGCTTAAATCTGCCCTCGACGATCTTGCGGAATTTGGCGGCGAATGTTTCATGATCGAAGAGATGGTGAACACGGAGGCCAGAGCGCGACGCCTTGGCGGAGTAGGCCGGGCCAATGCCCTTCTTGGTTGTTCCAATACTAGGCGAGACGTCAGCGCGTGGACGGATGCTTTGGGGGCGAAGGCATACCTCGAGCCACCGAGTTCGACTTCCTTCAAACCATCGACAATCTGGTGGAAGTCGAAGACTAGGTGCGCACGATCAGAGACGAAGAGCCGCCCAGCACAGTCAAGACCTGAGAAGAGGGGTAAGGCAAGATACACATCTGACTTCTCGAACGCGCTCACCCTGCTCCTGGAGCGCATCAAGCTCGGCGAAGAAGGAAGGAACGTGAACGACGACTCCGTTTCCAATGATTCCAGTGCACTTTGGGTTCACGAGACCTGTTGTCGCGTTAAACACGCGAAAAAGATTATGCACGACAAGCAGCACGCACCGCTAGGAAGAAGGTGGAAGGCGAACGTCTTCTTCACGTTGTTAGGTCCGACAGGTGCGACGATGGTGTGTCCTGCATTGTTTCCTCCAGCACAGCGGGCACATACGTCGACCTCGCCGGCAAGCACGTCTACGAGCTTTCCCTTGCCCTCGTCACCCCACTGGGCGCCGAGAACAACAGTTACTGCGCAAAGCAACGTAAGTTCAGCCTTGAGAATATTTCGACAAACTGGCTGACATACCGCTCATACTGGTAAAGATTCTCTTGGAGGAGAATTGCTACCAGCGAATAGCGCAACACGATGGTGTGAAATAGAGGAGTCATTTTAGAATCAAAACAGATCAATTCGCAATTTATAGTGGTAACGCTCGACAGGTCCACTTATGTCACTGCTTACTTGCTTCATTTCACCCTCTTACATTCGATTACCTAGCTTGATCTATTCCTTACTGTTGTACTTACTCGGTTGCTTACCGCTCACAAATCGACTGTGTCACCAACACTCAGTCACTTACCACTTCCATCCTCGTGCACTCTTCCCTGCGGCCTCGGATGGTATGCCGACGTTTCAAAACAATCCTCTGAAATCGAATTCTGCCCATGTTCTTCTGCGGAAACATCCGGCTCTGTTCGGTATCCCGTTCGTGCTCATCATAGTTGGTGCTTCGTTTGGCATGCAAAGCTTCGTCCAGACGCGGTACGACTTGCAAGACCAGAAAATACAGAACGTATGGATGGGAGCCGTTATATTCTGAGTGTCCGGAGCCTCATGGCGTGCGTAGGTGACGAAAGAGCAGGAACTTGGGCTCGCGAAGAACAGGAGGAAGGTCGATATTCGGGAAGAATACTACGTGCGTCCTACTGCGCTCCACAGTATTCCTGCGCTGATCGTAGCCGTACAGCGGCTCAGCGCTGCTCAGGACGATGTTTGGGAGAACAAGCGCATTCCACGACCGGCCGGCCTGCCGGAGTGGGGTGTACCACCTACAGAACCACCGCCGAAGCCCTCCTCGACTTAACTCCTTCATCAATACCTCTCGACTGTCAAGTAAAACGCTATGTATCATACCACCAGAGTGTGTGCTGTTACCACCATGCATAACGGTAGCAACGACGCAGACTGCCCATAACCGTCATTTTACCGACGGTCTTTCTCATACGCTTCGCCCCACATCTAGGAAGCCGTTTATGGTCGACGGCAGCCAGACACGGCGTACTATCATTGCACCTATGCACTTTTGCTAGAGACCACTTCGATACTCAAGAAACACATCTGCAAGCTCTGCGGTCAGCTGCGGTCACTGGCACCGTCGCGGGGGTGAAGTGAAGCCGGATCTCTCTGCATCACTAGAGCAGTGCACTATGAGCTCGAAATTTGTTCCATCTGCTATAACCATATAACCTTCTTTACGGTCGTGCGCTACTTCCACCACTAAAACTATGCGTCAACATCCATGTTACGGCCGTTGCACGCGGGTCCGAGCAAAAGATATTCAAAGGCTGATGTATCGTCAGTGCATATACAGCTGCGCGTATGTGGAGATAAGGCTATAGACAGGAAATACGAGCCGTACTAAACGGAATCGACTACCAAGAGAATGAGGCAGATATTTCTCACGCCACGGATAACAAAACTTTGTGTGACATTGTTTGTCCCATCTTGTCCTCGAACCGTCACGGCCCCGGTCACAACACCGTCGCCCGCCCGCCCCCCGCCGTCACGTCGCACGGTCACGGCCCTGTAACGTTCGTCGTGTGCACAGACAACGACGACGGCGACGAATAGACGTGTTTTCTTCATTGCAGACGAATCATGGATCCACACCAAGCCCCTATCTCGACAACGCCGCCGTCTTCCCGCAAACGGTCTCGCGAGAACGAGACGGAGAGTCAGAGGAACAAGCGAGAGAAAGCTGCTGAAAGACAGCGGCGAAAGCGCGAGCGAGACCGCCAGGCTGGGCTGAATACGTTGCTGGCCATGTCGCAGGTGCAGCAGCCACCCCCGCCACCTGTCGACGAGCCCGCCCCCGAGCCGGAGCAGCCGCAGTTCGCGCCTCTGGAGAAGGGCGAAGAGATAACACCAGAAGAGGCCGCGCGCCGCGAGAAAGTGCGTGCGGCGGCGAGGGAAAGGCAACGGAAACACCGTGCGCTGGTGAAGCAGAAGAAGTTGAGGGAGCTTGGCCTCGATATGGGCAATGAGCTTCTCCCGGGCATCGAAGAGGTCCAGTATCGTCTCAACGCAGATGGCCAGTACCAGCCAATTATTCATGACATGCAGCAACACGCACATGCGCAGCACCCCCATATGCACGAACCGCCGTTCCCCCAGGGCCAGCCATTAGGTGGGCAGACGTTCGCGTCGACCCTGCTCCTGTCCTTCTCCTGCGCGCCTCTCCTCAAGGCGCATCTCCTTCGCACACTGAACATGAGCAACGAAGAGCTCGCCTCGCTTGAGCCAATTATTGCTCAAGCATGGGATCATTGGGATCAGCAGGTACGCCGCCTAACGTTTCATATCCTCGTGTCATGGCTGACGCGCCTCGCAGCGGCGTATGCACTACGCGCAACAAAACGCGGCCGCCGCCGCGGCGAACAAACCGGACGGCGGGCATGTACCAGACGGGTCGGTCTCCCAGTATACTGCTATGACCACTCACGCCGTTAACCAAGCGATCAACGCCGTCAATCACCAGCAATATGTCCATGAGCCACCACCTGCACAGGGGTCCCCAAACGACTTTCGCGCCCGGTTCCATCGCCCACTAGTTGCGCCATCGCCATTCCGGATGGGTGCAGACCAGCAGCAGGCGATGGCGAACACAGCGAGCGCCGCGACGCTCGCGGCGGCCGCGGCCGCGGCAGCAGCAGCAGCAGCAGCGGGACCGTCGCAGGGGGCGGAGCAGATAGACCCGAACAATAACTTGGATCCACAGCTTGGGCAGGCGAGAGAGGAGGCAGTAGGGGTGGCAAAACAACTGGAACGATCGTAACGAAGCTAGGAATGCGCTGTCAATGGGTTTCGCGCTCGTCATGTTCACTAGTATTGTACTCTCTTCGCTTACATAGTGTTCTTCATATTCATCCTGTTACATTCGCTTCAGTCGTCACGCGTCATCAACCGTTGCTAACTTGTATTGTCGTCAACTTCATTCCGTAAGAGATATCGTCATGGTCGTGGAGCCGCTCTAGATCGTTCGATCTGTATATATGCTCTCATTGGGGAGGGAGTGCCGGTTTATTCTACTATCAAGGTGTGCCAACCGTTCATGTGCTTGGCTCGTTAGACAGCTCCGGAATCTGGCCTCCGGGGCCGACTTGGACAACGCCGAGAATGCTACCATCTGAGCTGCTCCTCATGATATTGGGCGTGGTCGCGGACGACATCGATAGTTTCAAGAACAAGCGGCGACAAATAAATCTCACGCGCGTCCTTATTCTACACGGACCGGCTGGCGGGCACATTCGTCCGCTGCTCTTTACGGCTTGTCATTCCCCACTCGCTCGAGGGCGTCGCGTCCTTCTCGGGTATGCGCAGGTAACCATCGTTTGAGAACATCGCCTATGCGACACAACACCTGGAGGTGCAAGAATGCCTAAAGTTCCGTCTTGGGTCACGATTATGGCGAGGACTGTCAAACACCGGCTCTCGCCTTCGACATCGATGGGTCCGCTATGTGCAAGCACCCAGTAATATCCCCTCCGAACCATCCTTCATGCCTCAGCTCCCGGATACAGATGCCTCCGTCCCACTCGAAATGCGCCGCTGTTTTCCGATTGTCGTAAAACCTGAACTGTCTCACCGCCGCTTCACTAGCCTTAACATCTTCGTGCGCCTCGTGCGAAGTTTTGCGCCCCTGGACGAACTGAACTGTGCCGCACTGTCTTGGCCGCGCGGTGGGCGTGGCTAGGACGCGAGGCATCTTGGTTTCCGAGGTTTGCGGCTCTTGACGTCTATTGCTCAGTGCAACGATCGACGGTCGCTCCTGTATCCGTTCTCTGCTCTGTTTCTGCTTTGCATAGCTCTGCAGAGCCATGATATCAACATACACATCGACGCTGCAGAGCTCTCCTCATGGAGGCCACCCTAGACAGCAAAGGCGGTCCTCAGTTGGCCATGACCAAAAATTATATGAAACGTACTGTAATTTCGTATAGGATAGCGAACGTGGACTCAACGTGCACAGCGAAGGCGTTGCAAGAATTAAATGATATACAGGTACAGCAATACAACACGATACTACGGAGCCCTATACGATGCGGACGAGGTAACTGTTAGATGATATTGATGCTTTTGCAGCAGGAAGCCAGGCAGCAGGCAGTCAAACGATAGGCCCAGTACTTCGGCAAGCACCTGCAGCATTTGATGTTAATACGTAGCAGTGTAGAATTATTGATAGAGCGCACTCATGTATACGTCCGCCGAATATCGGACCCTGACACTTGTAGCATTCACCTGAGGAACGGTCCTGCTCGGTAGACCCGCGGCGAAACAGCACAGAGGACGCTTCATCGAACTTGTAGTATGGCGGAGGCGCGAGTTCACGGGTGTGCTTTGGCGCGTGGTCCTCGACCACAGCCTTTTCGAGGTTAGCCAGCTGTAGATAGGTTTGTCAATAAGCTGTTTAGACGTCCAAAAACGTCAGATCTAACGTCGGCTCAGCCGTTCGTGGCACAACGCACCGAAAAGTCGAAGTTTACGACAGACGCCAACACCGGCAGGTGGTCCACCTGAACCGTCGCAGACGCATCCGCGGTCTCGATAGAGGAACCGTCAGAGTTTGTATCAAAAGATGTCGGCATTGGTATTGTTAGGGTCCCAGGAGAGGGAGCGTTCATATAAAGCTGCGTGCTCTCCACCGCAACGCAGGGTGTAATTTGTTTGACAACGCCGTGAGAAATGGATCGCTTCAGTTTCTGATACTGGGAGCTCATGGGTCAAGATAATGACCGCGCTAGAGGAAGGGAAGCTTCAGAGGGAGAAGGATAGGGAACATGCAGCCTTGGGCACACCTTGATATACTCCGACACGGAGAATGCAGAAAACTGCAATACCCTGCCGTTCGCCCCGCCTTTGACGACAATCTACACTCGGCGCCCAGCTCCCTTCAGAGACTCGGAGGCCCAGATGTATGATTCCTGGGGGACAAAGAGTGTTAAGCGACGCAGACTATTATACGTGGCCTCATTGTCATAGCAGAGCTGGGGATATCGAAGTTGCTTTGCCGTCCGGGCCACCCTGCGTCACCTAGCGTTGGCTCGCGCGTTCACTAGAGCGCATTATAACACGGATGTTAGATTTTGAGGCCAACTTGGCGAAAACAGAAACAGGGATTCAAGCTATGGGCCGGCGACTTCTTTCAGCTTTTCCAGGTGGTGGGTGATGTTCCGATACAGTATTGCGTTTCTGGGCAACCCGACGTGTAGAATACGTGATTTCTGCGTGAGTGCTAGGCAGAGAAAGGCCTAATAGCTATTCCTAAGACGCACCGGTTATGTTAGGGTCTGAGTCCCGAGACGCTAAGGGCGCTTTTGGCTCCGGTGACCGGGATTGGGCGCCAAGAGCTTTGATGCGCCGGCGCATGTTCCGACAACACCATCTTTCGCGGGGGACGAAAGCGTAACAGATGAGATAGAGGAAGCTGACTTCCAAGGCTTGTGCTCAGAGCCTTGTATAAAGTTTCCGGAATGAAGTATTCCGGCTTGTCCACCCTTGCGCGCAGTGCCCGGCTCGACAATATAAATGTTCATCATGAGACTGATATTGTCCCTGATAACAGTGACTACGTCGCTTGCGTCGCGCATGATGGCAGCACCAACTTCACCAAGGGTGACTCCTCGCGGGTATGGGCGGACAACGGATAGGTACGTTTTGCGATAGCCTCGTACGTCCCTGTGTTGGTCTGGACCTTCCCAACTTTGTCCTGCCAATAGTCTAGTTCTGCGCCGAGGCCGAGGTCAGCTTTGGCGTACTGCAGCAGGTCCTCCAATGAGATCCGAGCGTATGTCGTCTGCATGTTGACGGTGGCGCATTGCTGATTCCATGTCAAGAAACAAACGCTCGCTATCATTGTAGACTGGCTGCTAAAAGATAGACTCACAATAATGAAAGCCATACGAGCTGATTCAGTTCGGCGGCCTAGACACGGGAACTTATTAAGTTACACCGGACTAGCCACTCGGGAGCGCCCATGAGTGGCTAAGACACTGGAAAGCCCATGAGTGGCTAAGACACTGAAAAGCCCAAAAAATGGCGCGGGCAAGAATCAAACCCGCAGCCTGAAAGTAACCACAGCGCGCTATACCACTAAGGCATAAGACCTTACAAACATTGGATTGGAATTGGCCTATAATACCACTTTTCCACCTTAGTCTTAGCTGCCCAAAGTCATATTAGCTGATTATTAGGTATTAAAGTAATGGAATGTAATTGTACAAAGGTGTATTTTGATGTTATGGCTAAGACACTGGTGTGGCTAAGACATTGAGATATTAAATATCTGCTATTGATTCTGCTTATTGTACATATGTATATTCTAATGGCATGGTTAAAGCACCAGTGTGGCTCAGACACCTGAGTAGATGAATTATACTCAAGTGGAATCAATGGCAAATATTCAATGTCTCAATGTCTTAGCC